ATCATGAACCCTGTGTGATCAGAAACCTGTCTAAACTGAATATCATTGCAAATAGACATTTCTCCTATAAAATATCTGTATAATTTGAACACCTTAATATTCAATAATTGGTTTGGTTTAGAAACGTTAGAGAGGAAGAATATTTCTGTAAAGCACTATGAAATAGCTACATGCGACAATCTCTTCATAAACACAATATTACTGTAACTGCACACCACCACCTATTACCTTCATTGTGTGGATTTCTGCCTCCATTTCAGCCTTCTCTCGTTTCATGTTACGAGCAATCTCTTGAATAGTTTGATCTTCTCGCGCCTGAAAACAATTACAGAGAAACCGATAAACAAATTCCTAAGTTAACATTTATTTGGACCCTAGGACACAATGTGTTGTGGTTGAGACAAGTAGAGGAAATAACTAGTGGGGTAACACAGAGATGATTCTAGGACTTCTAATATTCCAATGTTTATAAATGATCATCCATTTCATCTGACATGAATTCTGATGGCACATATCTGTACAAACAATCCAAATCTACATACTTTACATGAAGACTTATTGTCACAAAATAACTGGATAAAATTGATTTTAAACAGTAATAAAATAAAATGTATGTTCATTCCTACTGATAAAAAATTATATTGCCTGCCTAGAAATGAACTACTATTGAAATTGGCTAATATAGATATTATTTATACCTGCGCAAAATGTGAGAAGCTTTTAGATGTAGATATTGACAATGTTTTATTATTCAATAAGCATATGTATTTTATTTATTCATAGAATTTTAGCTCTTCATAGGATTAAGAAGCTTTAACCTCATTTTGTCAGAAAGCTATTTTATAGTGCTTTTATTTTACATTATTTCAACTAATGTATTAGTGTATGGACTAGGTAATTCTTTGAGCATGAAACATGTTTATTAAATTGCAAAAAATTGGCTGTACAATAAATGTTAGAAATCTGTGCATAGTTGTGATCTTTTTAATTTGTTAAACTGGTTAGGGTTACCATCCTTAGATATATATAATATATCAGGGTTCTCCCCAGGGCTTTTTAGCGCCGAGGTCCGCGGCGCTATACTTGTGAATCTCGGTGCTTCACTTGGGACCTCGGAGTTATGTGTTCCCACCTCGGTGCTTGATTTCATATTTGACATGCCAATATCAGATGTGCAAAAGCTTTGTTCGCCACGCCAGTCGGCCCGACCATCACTCAAAATTAGTGACCACCACGGAAACGCTTCCGACCAGGACTATTGTCTGATTGTTATTATAGTTACGTATCGACTGACATGCATCCTGCCTGTCGTGGATTATAATTTATAAACAACAGACCTAGTCGCATGATACATAGCGGCTAGTCAAATTTGTGAAATTAGCACCTCTTTGTTTGTAAGTAAATACTTTCTGCGATAGACACTGTCTTTAGATTGAAAGCTAAAATTCTTTCAAAATCAATTCCACCTCAATATAACATGGTCAAAGCGGAGTTCACGATCAGTTCACGCTACTCAAGAAAAAAACAACGTGTTTATTGCGTGATTTGGTAAAATACATTTGAACTGTTATCATCGTGAATCATGTAAAAACTCTTCTTTCAAGACCTACGGTATTTTATCTTTTAAAAATTGCAAACCACCTCTTTCGAAAGCCATCATGCAGTTTACAATTAAAATCGATGCCAACACATCGTGCTACGACATCGCTTTACTTCCGCAATGTAATTTTTATGATCACTACCATTCGGAAAACTTTGGATTCTACCGGCATTACCATGCAGCATTTTGATTGGTTAATGGCATTCTTGACCCATCGGTCAAAGGACACACGCTAATGTTTAACAAACATCATGGCGGGTCTGTTTTTTTTACTGAAGCGGTCTAGTGATCAAAAATAATCGCTCCCGATAAAAATACGTCAGATTTTACTTACATTTCATATCAAAAAAGCAGCCTCTCGGCTGAGATAGCTCCGCTGTTAGCAATGCGCATTACAATTAAAGAACTGAAGATATCATTAGAAAATGAACAAAAAGAAGTCCACACGTAGTACGTATATATGTAATATAAAAGCAATCGGACTTGCGGTTTTCAACAAGAAGTCAAAAATATCACTTTTCACCAAAAATTACAAAAATATTCACCAAAATTAGGGAATTAAAGATATCATCATGAAATGAACAAATCTGAGAGAGGTCTACATGTAGTATCTATTTATGTAATATAAAAGCAATTAGACTTGCGGTTTTTAACAATAAGTCGAAAATATCACTTTTTACCAAAAATGACAAAAATATTCACCATAATTAGGGAATTAAAGATATCAGCACTAAATGAACAAATCTGAGAGAGGTCCACATGTAGTATCTATTTATGTAATATAAAAGCAATTAGACTTGCGGTTTTTAACAATAAGTCGAAAATATCACTTTTTACCAAAAATTACAAAAATATTCACCAAAATTAGGGAATTAAAGATATCAGCACAAAAT